CATGTCTGAAATTGTGCCTGTCTGGAAACTACATTACCACACACACATTTCTCGTACATTTTCATTGTACACTGAAATGAACTGTAACCAATGTCTGCACGAGAAGTTTGGCAATTTAATTTGTTTATTAAATTTCATTTGGAAACTAATGGTTACAATAACACCAGTGCAGATTGTAGTAAATTAATTGAAAACATGCAAAGGTAATATTTACTGGCTCCCTCACAGCTCTGAACATCGAATCATATTCATTTATCATATTGTAAGTGTGTCACCCTTTCTGCTGAGGCTCACTGTTGGAGAGTGCAATATTTTATATTATTAATTTAACTCAAACTTGACGTTTGAATATGTTTAATAAAGACAGAATCCCAGTTGCAACAGAGTGTTGTCCTCCAAATAACTGTAAAATAAATGGCCAGATTGAAAACCGGGGCGAGAACTACAGGGGAGCCAGTGGCTGCTCTCAATATGACATGAGCTCCTATGTCTCTAATTAACACAAGTTGTTTTAAGGATTGTGTCTCGTGATCAGTTTTAGCTGGGTGTAATTTTCATCTAACCTGTAACATTTATGGATTCACAGGCTGCAGAAAAAAGACTGCTAGTTTGCAGCCTTAGTTGCGCTTAGCAGGAGATTACCCTGAGGCACCAGGGGTATTTCCAGATATTTTTTTTACTAGGGGGGCACTGATTTATGCAGGTGTGGCATGAAGTATGTGTCTCAGCTTTCCAGTCATTCCCAATCTATATAATTCCCAAAACTGTTTATGGACCACAGTGTGGTCTGCATGGGATTAGCATAAAATAGGGAAGTCTGGGAGACTTGTTGGTACCCACAAAACCCATTTTCATTCAGATATGTTGAGGTCAATGGATCCCTTTAAAAATGGCCATGCCAGGTTTTCCATCGCCCAAATTTAGCACAAAAATGGGGGGGTTATTTAGCCACCTTCCCTACATTGCAGCATGACATGGTACCAATGGTTGCCTTAGGTCACCTAGTTTCATATGATACCAGTATCTTTACTCTAGCTTTAAAATGGGGCCCACTACAGCTCCTAAAAAACAGTGCGAGTAGAAGAGGGAAGGATAATGGGGTGGTACTTGGTTTTGCTAATCAGATTTCAGGGGTGGGCAGTGCCAACCCAGGCCCCCCATTGGGACATGCCTCTGAGAGGCACACATGTGAAGTATGAATTTTGGGGAGAAATGACGCAATTACCAATTTTGTGGGGAGTAGCAGAAAAGTAACATAACAAGTAGTGCATTACTTACTGTTGGCAGGGAGTAATAACTAAATTAATAATATTACTTTTGAAAAGAGTAATAAGTAATACATAAAAAAATTTGAGTAAAAAGCTAGTTATGATAGCTAGTAAGATTATATTACGTAGAGTTTAAATGTTAATGTTGGGTATTTTCAAGCTTGTGCTGAGGTCCTGTGTAAATGTAGCTGATTAGACCCACAGCTCTGAATGGTCGCCACTCTTGCTGCTGACACTGCAGTAGGCCAGCTGGAAACAGGGAATCAATTAACAATATAAGACCCCACTCCCCCTTTCTTGTCTTCACTAACCACTTGATTCTGTGTCATTGCTCTCATCTGTTTTATCCTTATTGTTGTCTATGTGATACCATCATGTCAAGAAGACGAATTATTAGATGTAAACCATGTGCTGCACAATCATCCAATATGAATGCAATTCCCTGAGAGACTGGGCTGCTTCCTCTCCTCTCCTCTTCACATGATTCATGATTCACAAACTATAAAAAGTCAGATGTCTTCCTGTAACACTGTATTCCTTGCAGGACTTACAGTAGCATGAGTAGAGTATTCAGCAGTAACAGTCAAATGTACTGCAGCCACATCATTAGTGATGGACTAATGCTCTGCTCGGATTGTGTTTTCAGGAGCTGTCTGTCTGCCTGCTCTGCTGCAATAACAGTAAGCTCAGCGTGGAAAACAAACTGTCAAATTATGTTTTAAAGCTTGCAGTGTGTACTACTACACAAAGTCAAGAGGAAAAAAATCCTCTGACAATTTGCAGCGTGTCGTACACACCAAACACACATGCACACTAAGCTTATCTCACTGTTAATCCATATTTATTTATTCAGAAAACAAATGATGTCATTTTTTTCATTACCAAAATCCTTGAACTTATCCCAAAAAAACAGAAAATGTCACTAGATAGATTTTGTTGTTTTGTTTGTTACAAAAAACATTGTGCCTTCCTTTCTGTAGGATGTAAAATAGACAAGAGTGAAACTTCAATACTGTTACTTAAGATATGTATATATATGTGTATATATTAGTGTAATGGAAATTTGTGAAATTAGTTGTATTCATTATAAAGGGTTCTAGTTATTGTGGATGCTGTTCATATGCAAATGTAACCTGCAATATTTGTTTCTTTCTCTTTGAGAATATAGTTGAACTTTTGGAACATCATTAATCTACCCACTTGAAGGTCCAGGTCCAGACTTCCTACAACATGCGCACTGGAATAATTGCTCAAAAATACGGTTACGTTTGTATTTGGGAGAAGATTACAGACTGGATCTTTGACAGATTTTATTTTATTTTTATATTATGTAATATCATATACAGATCTGGATACATTACCATAAACTTGTATACCATTGGATCTTTCTGGATACAGGTACTTTTTGTCCAGTAGTAGGGAATATGATTACAGGTTACAGACTTAGAGCTACTCCCTATTTATGTGAGTTGGCCTCAAACCATTTGCCTGATGAAGATCTAACACTGAAACCTTGTCTATCTTAAGGTAGATGGTGTGATTTTTGATCTAGGATGTAATATGAAATTTGTGGGTTTTGAAGAAGCACATACACACACACCTCACACACACACATAAAGTCTAATGTGTGAGTGTGCAACCATCAACTGCATCCCCACTTTCATTTCATCCTCCATCAAACAACTTCATAAATAAATTGTGGTGTAATAAAGATCAGATCCACTGTAGCCTCATGTTATTGCTCTTTGTCCTGACAGTATCTACTAACACTGGGGCCCTAACCTGGAGGTTACCATCTCTAAGGAGAGATCAATATGAAGGGGTACAAAGTGGTTAATGGGATTAAAAAGAAAACACACTCTGTTTCTTTTACAAAATGTAGTCTGTTGGCTCTTCCTGGATTTTAGGGGAATTTATAAGACTATTAACAGCCAAACGACCAAAAACAAATCCGGATAATCCTCAGACCTGACTGGCAGCAGTTATAAGGACTATTTCTTTAGCAGAAAATATTTCAATTGAAACATGTTCACTATCCACACTAATGGGAGACTGCTTCTGGATTAAATACAAATTTTTTGCATTGTACTGACAGAAGTCTTTGAAATCTCGAAACCTGGATAAATAAACTATCTACACAAATAAATACTGCTAGAGGTTTGATTGTGTATTTAACAATTTGGGTTAACTGACACTTTAAACATAAATCCCCACTACCTTTCCACTAGTGAGGACTACAGTGCTAACACGCAGCAATAATCCCTCCTCCTCCTCCTCCTC